ACCATTAACTTCTTAGAAGGGAAGTTCAGAGATGAGATGGCCTATAATATGCAACTCTGCATTAGAAACAGAAATTTGATTGTTTGCTCAGCAGATGCAGGATGGGTTTGCAGTGTGGGTTTGACAGATCAAAAAGAAGTAATTGGCCCAAAATGATCTGCAGACCAGCACAAAATGTGTATCCAGTCATGCTGCCTATCGCATGACATAAATTATTTGCAAGATTAACAGTAAATATTTTGCCAAGAATTGGTTCAAGGCCCCAACACTGGGTTACTGTAATTAGCGATGCAGGGTCCAGCCATGCAAAAGAAATGCTCTTTACCTACTTCATCTTGCAGTCACAGTGAGGCTGACAGTATGTCCCAAGGCTTGTGTAGCTGTGGGATGGCATCTATGCAACATGCAATGTTGTGCACTCTTTTCATCTGTTTTTAGAACTGCATTATTTGTTCTTCTCATCAGTAAATGACGGGTTTCCCCATATTTACAAGTCTATTTCCAGCCTAAGATGGGAGCCATAGACTATTCTTTCTTTAGAAAGCACACACTCAGCCACTCATTTTGCTGCTGAATTGTGTTTTTAACAAAAGCCATATAGAAAAAAGACAGAAGGAAAAGCCAAGCAACCAGACCTGGAAGCCATTGCCATTATATCATCTAACTGTTCACAAAACCCAGAACTCCTGTGTGAGTGTTCATGCCAGACACTGTGGAACAGGGAAATAATATCAAACCCAAATTTTAAGCTTCATCAGACAATCATTGGCTTCCTTTGCTCTTACCTGTCAGGCACCACTGCTTACACTACATATGGCTGGAAGGTTATGAGCAAATGGATTAAAGAGAACATGCCCTTCCTGGTTCGTACCGTGACTGGCCAGTCAGTCCCAGATTTCCTTAGTATCTCTTTTGGCTGTGAGACATAGTACCTTCAAAATGAAACTGTTCATGCTGGCAAAGACAAAAAGGTCGCTGGAGATGACTACAAATGTGGTAGCAGAGCTGAAGATGGCTGTGCTGGCCATCGCAGTTCTCAGGTGACTAATTAGCAACTGACCCATTTCTGTCAAATTATTCCGTTGGTTTTGGCCAAGGAGTTTGGCCAGACTTTGCATGTGGTACAGTCTGATTTCCTAACAACCTCTGAGTAACCAAAAAAGGTGATCTCCTAGATCTCCTCACAGAACTTTGCATCCTTTTCTCCTGGTGATCTAGTGAACTCAGCACATGAATCCTGAACAGTGGTGGTAATTCAACAGATTTAAGAATTCCTGCTAAGCAAATAAAAAAGTGCATTACATTTTGAAAACTTAAAGGATTCTCCTATATTTTCTGTGTTACACCTAAATTGGAAATTGACACTTCTACATTTTGCATAGCATGTCTAGGATTTATATTTTTAAACAAAGTTGTCAGACTACAAGTCTGGGAGGTAAATCTAGCTGGCAGAAAGGTTTTAAGTGTCCTCTGCCTGACTTTCAAGTGCATAGAGAATAGTGTACGAAAGTTACAACTACTGAATATCTCTTCGTTTGTCTGGGCAGGCAGACACTCTTACCACTGAAAGCCATCTTCACAACTGCATGGATGGGAGAGGAAGAAAGAGGAAAGAGAGACTTAATGGAGAAATTCAAAGTACAGTCCAACACTGTGCATGGTAAGTATGTCAGGTCTGATGTCTTCTCTTGCCCACTGAAATGGTTGTTTCCTTGCTCTGTTCGGTATTGGACAAACTAATTACCTTAAAAACTGTATTTTGACATCAGTATGAACAAATTTCTAAAACGAGTGAGGATTCTAAATGTCCTTAGTAAATGTGTAGTCTTTCATGGGATCCTGTAAATAATAGTTATAGACACAGCTGGGAAGGGCAGCTGGTTGTTCAGTTAAATGTGTGTCCTGAGGTTCCATCCTATGCTCTGGGTTGTCATTATGGGACAGGCAGATAAGGAGGAAAAAGATGGCTTTATAAATACACATTCTGTTACTTAAAGCAGGACAGACTTCATGCAATATAGTTGGTACTTGTCACAGCCCATAATTCTCTCATTTCTAAAATAACTCTCCCTAAACATTATAAGGTCCAGGTGGCACTTACCATAGTGAGAGTCCTGCTTTTCTCTTTCTTCAAGTTGCTTCTTGTGTCCATTTCAAAGTGTGCTTGAGGTGCCTCAGCTCATTCAGCCATACAGACTTGTGGGTTTCAGTGCAGCCTGATTCTGTGACAGACTGTTACAATCTCTTCCAGAAGTGACCCCATCCCACTATTTTTAGCCTAAAAATCAGACTGCTGTCATGAAGGACAGAGCTTTTTGTCTGGAGAAGTTTATTTAAGAAGTCCATTAGAGAAGGACCTATACAAAATGTATTGATGGACTTGCAACACTGTCACTTGACCTTTAGTATAGATTTTTAGATAATTGTGCATGAAAGTACAGCATCTGAATGGCCCGGGGGACTGAAATATATATAGGCAGAAAGACCCTGGTGAGCAAATGGGAAGTAGATACAAGAAGACAAAGGAAGACAAAGGCAGGGGTAACAGGTGATGCTGGTGGTCTGCCCAAACACTATCTTGACTCTGTGCTGGGGGTAAGCAGGGGAACAAGGCATGACTTACCACGTGCTCAGCTCTAAAGCACAATGAATTCAGCTTGTGTTCAGACCATCCCTCCCAACCCGTCTGTTCATGACACCCCACCCCAACACATTCTTCTGTTTGAAGCAATGAAGAGAATAAGGCTTGGTCGACATGCACGGAAAGACCATCAGACAAGAGTTTGTACCTACTCTAAAAATTTCCACATTGGTTCCTTAATGAACCATAAAAAGCAATGCCCTTAACAAGAACAGAAACCTTGGCACTCTGCATTAAGCCACTAACTAACATTTTTTCCCCATCTCATGCTTTAGAATTTCTGTCATTCTCTGCAGAGGTACTTATGATAATTTTCCAGCTGAGCATGGACATTGCCTACAAGATTTCATTAATTTTTTTTTTCTGTAAATCACAGATTGGATGAGATGAATAAGTACTTTGAAGCAGTACTACTTATCTTTGTTAGGTGTGCACATGATATTATGTCTTAATCATATGACTGGAGCATACTATTAAACAAGATCTGAGACTTGGAGAAAACAAAACATTTTGATGTACACATCTAACCAAATATTCTGGTCACATTATTTCATTGTATTGTATTATTTTTGGCTCAGTAGAGAGGCATTCCTGTGAATCTAAATGGCCAACAAGGTACAGAAATCCAAGTTGTTTATCTACTGGTCTATTTGTTCTTTAAATCTTTGAAATGAGAAGTCTGTGATTCCAAAAGTGCTCTTTTGAAATCAATAGACTACTAGTGGCATTAAGTGCCACTCGACATGGATAAGTATGACCACATGTCCTGTCATATATTTCACAAGGAAATATTTTAGCTGCAGATTTTAAACAGATTAGGTGTTCTGGAGGTAGCCCATATTCGTAGAAAACATATCTGATGACTAAACTTAATAGCTGTTTAATTGACTAGAGTATGTGACTATAAATTTTCCTTCTTGAGTCAAATTATCACTGCTAGTTTTAGCTGCATTATAATACACTCCTCATAAACTTGATATATTTGTCATTTAGTTGCCTGGGACATCAACATGCAAAGAAATTACAGGTTAATTCAGATGATAGAAAGCAATGTCATAGCAGAGAGATTTCCAACTAATTACTGTTTTTTCCTTCAGAGGCAGTATCCTGTGACAATTCATTCTTGAAGGAAAAGAAGAGCTTAACTCTTTTCAAAAAAGTTGGAGTACATCTGACAACATGAATATCTACCTACACAATTGCATGATGGGTGCAGCTATTAATGTTTAATTACTTGAAAGTGTTGTTAAAGTATACTTGATGGAGTTTACATTCAGGTGTGACAAATCCTTTTAAATATACTTCACTAGTTATAAAAATACTTATAAAGTATTTTTTATCATCTCCAGTACCACTCACTACAGCAGTTCTGGAGCTGAACGTAATTCTGACAGACATTTTCATCAGTAAAGCATTCACCAAAAATGGATGGTTAAACAGAAAAGAGAGTTTAAGGTCCTCTGGTCTTTGGAGTGCAGAACTCTGTATGTATACATCACTTTTTTGCCCAGTGAGAATCACACAAATTCAGTTAAAATCTGTGTCTCTTCTTGTTAAAATTTCATTTGCCTTTCCCCAGTCTTACAAGTACTCTTAGCAACCCATAAAAGCACTTTCTGAATAAATGTCTGAAGCACCCTTTCATCCTCCAGCTTAACTGTGAAAAAGATGTCATTCCATATTTAGGAAACATGGACCAACTGTCAGATTAATGGATGAGTGTATGTGGTGTACATGTGCAAAAAAGAGGTAATTTTTGTTGCCTCATTTTAGTGACACATATCAATATAAGATGTGAATGTGATTTTTTTCCCCATTATTGCACATTGTAAGGACATAAAATAAATTTCGAAACTTATCACTTCTGAGAGTTGCTGGGAAGGTAACTGGCTGAAAACAGATAGTTTCAGCCTTACTTCTGGCATGTAATTCCTTTCTACAGTTTACCTTAATGGTGGATGCCAACCTATTTATCATCACAACTATTTTTTTTTTAATTTCTTTCTGTTTTATTGAATCATTGTGAAGGCCATAAACATGAGATGTCCCTGAACACTTCTCACGAGTAAGGAACTGCAAAACCAAATTCAGAATGACATCGGATAGGAAAATAAAGTAATCGCTTGAAAAAAATACACTTACTTTGCACCAACTTTAAAAACACATCTGCTTCAATTTTTGCTTCATTTGAATAACTCTGTATATAACATCTGACTGCCATTATTACTTTTTGACAGCTTTTTAAAGTACTGTGAGATTTTGTAAAATTTAATGTGGAAAATAAAACAGGAAATTTATATGAAAAACTAAGAGAGAAAAGTGTACTTTGAAAAAATAATGTAAAAGTCCAACTGCTTACCTTTGTGTTTGGGTAGCATAACTGTTATCATATGCCTCATAGCTTGGATCATCATATTCACCCCCATACCCATCATCGTATCCCTAAAGGAAAAACAGAACACCACAGCTTAGAAGAGGGATAAATCAAAGGATATTACCAAGCTGTGAAAATAACTTGCATCAATATATGCACGGTATGTTTGCTCAGTATCGTGTAAAATACATGGCCGATTGAAGAGAATTGTGAATTGTGAGGTACAACCTGTAGAGTGCAAGGGTAAAGAAATCTCTTACTCATTTAAGAACTCAGCTTATTCACTGATAAACCGTGGTGCACTGTCCAAACCACAGTGCTCCAGTGGGATCTGTGTAGACTACTGATGAATGATAATAAAAATAATAATCTCCTGGTTGTCTGTTATACAAATAGTTCCATAAATACCTATAGGTGAAAAGAACAAATGGCAGGTGTACTACACTATTAAGAATGGTATTGTGACAAAATCTTAATATTCATTCTATTAAAAAAAGAAAAAACAAACCAAAACAAAACATAACAATCTATGAAAACCAGTATTTGTGAGCAAGTAATGGATTATGATCTTTTAAAATAACTTAAGAGTAAGCACCTTTTCCTTCACTGAGCATCCCACTCTTTTTAAAGTCATGCTTTTCTGTGACAATGGACATTTTAGTACAGGTTCTTCCCATCTAACTTAAGGGTCCTTACTGAAGGGCTCAGACAAATGCCTAAGGTATAGAGACACAAGTGACTTCAGAAGGTGGTTCAGTTCATCTATGTCTGAATATTACACTGAAGGAGCCATGGGTAGTTATGATCTATTGTAGCTGACTCTGAACCCAAGAGTGCTCAGGAACCAGACAATAGATAAATAAAGATATAGTCCAAGTATGACTTAATATGCTCTTCTTGTATCACAGGACAACAGAATAGGCAGGAAGAAGGCTGTATGGAAACACTTTTTTTATGATTTTTGGGAGCCAGTAGTTTTAGTTAAATAGAAATTAAACATTTTGTTGTCATACAGAAACCTGACTGTTAAGTGAAGCACTAAAGGAAATAGAAGGCTTAAAAATCTTTGACTCAATATTAATTACAGCAGAAGACAACTTTTCTCCCCCCACAAGCTATGCAAAATTTAGTTAGGTTTGGGCAGAAGAGACAGCATGAGACAGCTCCAAAATAACAGCAGTCCAATAAACAACCACATTAGCACACTATCTTAACCACCCAAAGTACAGTGTTGGTTTGGTACTTCATTATTTCTGCTAAATAAACTCCATAATGGTATTAAACAAGACTTCACTGGCACTCGTGAATTAAAGAAAACATTCAATGGAAGAGGCATTCAGTTATGTCTCCTTAGAACAAGCATATTAAATCTGCCTGTTCCTCTGGTGTACCCAGCAACAAGGGCACGTGTGGATTCCAGATGGGAGACTTCATCTCTGTAGTGCTGTATGGCCTGAGGGAAGGACAGGACTCCAGATGGTGACCTCACTGCTCAGACACCAGGTCAGCTTGCAGTAAAGGAAAGCCTTTCTGAGCAGGAGGGAGAGTCCCATTTTGGGACTGGGGAATGGCCTCTCCTAGAATCTGAAGTCCACATGAGCCTCATCATCTACCACTTCAAGTGGAACTGCACCAGTTTGACTTGTTAATATTAGTAATAGTTAATATTAGTAATAGTTTTAGTATAGACTGTTAGCAAAAAGTACTGTTAAAAACATACCCCGGTACACTACAGTGATATATTGAATATTATTCAGCTAAATACACAATCTTGCTTCTGGGGATAGAATGAAAGAAACAATAAAACCCAGGAGACAGATGTTAGTCACATGAATTAGTATGCTACTGGGTGGGATCCTGCTACCGTGAAGAAGAGGATGACGCAAGTTCCTATATAAAGTTGAATAGCTAGAGGAAAGACATTTCAGCCTGCTTACCCACCATATGAGAGAATGGGAAGAGCAACAATTACAAATTAGCTCTCTCAGTTTTCTGATGCCTGAGGTGGATCACTGTTCAGCATCAGCAGGGCAGAGAACACTTGTTAATATCTGACACCTCTGTGAGTTCATGTTATAGATTTTAACAGTCTTCCTGAAGGCTCAGAGTATGTCAATACAGGGCAAATGGTTCAAGTAGAATGGTTGGAAAACAGAGACAAAGTAAAAAAAGCGCAATATTTTTTTAATAAAGACTTTAATAAAACTATTTTCTGGATAATGTCCATTTATTTGTGTAATTCTTTATGAGAATTATCTTCTAATCCTACAGGTGAAGTGTTTATGTAAGCAGTTATTAAAAGTTTAATATGATGTATTGTACCGAGACACCTACCAAGCCTTTAGGTGTCTAGAACTGCGACCCAAAATAGCTCCTTTCACATCCTTAAAGTGTCTTAAACTCACTGAGCATTTTTCTTCTCTTTAACATTCAGCTCCCCAGAACCTACAACTTTAATGTTTGAAAGTATTTCTTGGATGGGCACTTTTGAGAGATGAAACACCCAGCTCCCACCTAGACCCTGCTGAGATCAAAAGCTATGAGTCTGATGGTGTCCACATTAACACATTCTGTGCTCTCTGTGTGATGAGAAGGGTGCTCCCAAAAGCAATTCTGTATAAATCCAGAGACCAGAACCCAAGATGCCCTCTCCAAATACAGTGCAATTTTATACTCAGCCTTAGAGTCAGACTACTTCATGCATTCTCTAGGTCTATGAGGTCTTATATTAAAAACAAGCAAACAAACAGACAGTATTAAATTGATAAATGTTCTTTATATGTATGATGATAGGAACAAAGCCATCCTCTTGGAGAACCTAAGTTACTAGTGCTTTACCCTCAGCACACTGCAGGAAAAAGGATTACTTACACTGTCAGTGATTTGAATATGTCATTTGTTCTTCTAAAATTTCTACAGTTTAATTTATTTCGCCAGAAATCTTCATATATACATGTATAACACTTAGACCTTCCCTCCTGTGTTAAGTTCTAATGCCTTTTCATTGAGATCTGTGCTTTTCAAGCAGAAATAATCTCAGATAAAGTGTCTTTGGACATGATCTGATCAAGATCTCCATGTTAGTCAGAATATTAGAAAACTTGTATAGAAAGTTGATAGGGTCAAGCCATTTATTTTCAGTGAAGGTTCCCTAAAGCACTTCCCTAAATTTGCAGAATTCTTTGATGAGGCTAATGAGGGTGCAGATAAGCATAACCTGAGGGAAACAGCATCTTTGGAAAGTTACTGATGAATTTTGATTCCTAAGGATATTCAAGGGAATGTGGTTGGATGCCTGGGAAGACTCTTTTTCTCTGTAGGAATGGTAGCTGCCACCACCATTCAGAATAAAAAGCCTACCACAATGAACTTGAAAAAAATGCAATGGGGAACTATAAGAAATATTCAGTGTCAAACTAATAGCCCTTTCTAGGTAAGGTTTTGTGCCAGGCTATTTTTTGCAGGTACTTCTTACAAAACAACTTTCCCAATCTTAAACAAACAAACAAACAACAAAAACAAACCAAAAGATCTCTTCAGTTTGTGTCAGGGAAAAGGAAAGTTAGTCTTCCAGTGTCTAGGATTTGGACTGGAGACAACAGAAATGCACATTTGAAGCTGCATTGGGGCTAAGAATGTTTATAAATAATTATGGATGATTTTGAGGAGTTTTGGTATTGTTAAGAGTTGAAAAATAATAACAAAGATATGAAAATTAAGAAAAAATTTAAAATAGAGTTCAATTCAAAAAAAGACTAATTTGAAAATGAGCGAATTTAAGTATTTACCAGTCTTTCTCCATAAAGTGAAGATAGGAAAAACTCTCAGAAGAATCTCAAAACAGAATATGAAATTAGCATTAGGAACACTCAGTTCAGGAGGAAATATTCACTACTCTACTACTGATAAAGAAAATTATGGTCAGGGGTAAAAGGGATATAGAAGCCAAAAGTGACATATTTGGAAAAAGGCTTATATTCTACCACCTGAGAAAAAGTTAAGTATCAATTTGATTCAACACTCAAAATACCACTGAGAAGAATTAGTTAATTTACTCAAATCTTCTTAAATTTTCAGATGCTGAGATATTAGAAATACAAACAAAATTATAAGTATCATTAGTTACAAGGGTATGATAATATAACACAATCTGATCTCTGTAAACATGTTACTTCATAATGTTATGACCCTGTTTCAAACAAAAACAGCCCACACTCAAATGCACCAAGTTTAAATCACCTCTTCTTGAATAGCCTTAAAAAAAAAGAATTTTCACAACATGCTCTGGAAAATAGCAGCTTTTAACTCTGTGAAACCAAGAAGGACAATATTTCTAATACTTCTAATGAAAACTACTGTATTCACAACATTGTATGTCTGTCCTAGTAATACATGATAAAATACATTGTAAGAAAGCTGGAACTTGTTTTTTACAGAAAATAGACCAACTCTTTCTAAAGTAGCAAACTGCAAAATATCTAGAATTAAATAATAAATAAGTAAATAAATAGGCAAACCCCAAACAACAGTAAGTCAAAATAAAGTGAATTATGCAACCCAGTACTTTGCTTGGCAAATGTGAACAAGAAAAATACCTGCAGCCAGAGAACCAGAGTAAGACTTCTCATTAGCTGCATCCAGCAGCACACACAAACTAGTACTGTACCTCATGAGGAAGAAGGCGAGGGTACAAACACACGCCTCTAATTGTAACTCTTAAGTAGAAGTTGTTTCCCAGAAAAGGGACCTTTGCCCAGTTTTCACTCTTTTCTTCCCTTGTTTCTATGTTGCTGTCTCACTCTCTTTTCTGTTGTGACTTGGTCACATTCATACTTTCTCACACTTCTATATCACCTTAGCTTAGAAGCTAAAAGCCAGTCGTTCACCAGAACCTGTAACCTGGCAGTAGATTCCTGGAAGACTCACAGGGTAGAAATAAAACATTTTTAGATGATAATTAATACTTTTTATACATATTTAAAAACAAGTAAAACTGCTCTTTAAATGAGAACTTTCTTTCCAGTAATCATTAAGGGAGCCCGGGATGTATGTGTTAGATTTATATAAC